GGACGGACACCCGGACGCACAGATGGACGGAGACCGAATTATAAGTCCCAGTTTTCCGACTTCGTCCGAACAGGGACTAAAAAGTCTACATAATGAAATTTGCTGAAACGATGTTGAAATTAAACTTGAAAATATGGACACACTGCGACACAGATTAAAAAAAAAGAATTCTTGGGCCATGAGCATTACCATATTAAAATAATTTAATGTAAATCTGTTAATAAGTATAGGATTAGTCTTTTCAATAGAGTAAACAATTTGTGTTTGTTTTCATTCACAATCACCACTGTTACTACATGTACGTTCACATTATGGAATCTCGGGACATGCAGAAATTTTTAATCCTTCGGATTTGGGTTTGTGCAGAGCATTCAGGCAACAAATGTTGGTACTTGCCAAGTTACGGTCAGAATAGACACTCAAGATAGAGTTTTTTTCTGCATGTGGCAACTCAGTCCCAATCGTTTATACTTGCCATGTGCCGAGATCTCTAACGTGAACGCCACTTGTATTTGAGTATACACTGCTCATTATCGCAAGAAAGCAGCTCGAGGATATATATGATTGTTAAAAGTGGTGAGCACAATTCCATCTTTGTCTATATCATACAATAATGAACAGTTTATTGATTTAAATAAATTTGCATGTATACTCACAATCTTTATTTATTTGTAGAATATTAAATGATATCAATAATACCTCACAACACTCGAAATATGTAGACATTCAGATTCTATAACCTGCCATACAATTGGATACTTTATCAGACTTAACATAAACAATGTCAAATGTTACATATACATGTCAAATGTTACATAAACATGTCAAATGTTACATCAACTCCATTACTTATACTGACTTGTATTTTAATTTCTATAAACTGATGGCAACCAAATAAAATCAAATATTATAATCTATGGAACAAGGAACAAAGATTTTCAATTTAAAAAAAAAAGATTGTCATAATATTCCAGCATGAAGTAATATTTTCACATTAAATTTTTAACAAAATCACACTATATAATCATTTGTTATGTTATGGCCGAATAGCTTAATTTAAATTTCTGAATTGGCATTTCTAATTTTTTATTGGGGTCTTGGGAATACTATAAAAAATATTTGATAGTCTGCATAGCGTGAAATAAAATAGATGTTTTTTTAGTGGTTTTTAAAGGCTGGCAATTGTTTTGGCATCACATTTTTATTGTGTGTTGATTCACAAAGATTCACTTCTGTTCCCATTTACTGTAGGCCACAGTAATTCCAAACAAAGCTGAATCTTTATGATTCCTTATTTGTTCCCCATAAAGCATTGCAAATTCAGACCATGAGATAATAGTCCAAAGATCCCAATAAAGCTCAATAAATGCTCTAAGAGTGCAACTTAAAGGTATTTGATGTGACTAATGACCATACTGTCACTTCTAATAACGAGCATGAAAATGACAACTACTTTTTGTTTTCTGAATAGATGTTTCCATAGCAACAGTTGCATTGATGTACTTGCCCCGTTTTACATACCAAAATCAGCTTGAAAAATAAATGTAATGTAATTGGGTATCAGTTTCTTCTCAGTATAATGCTGCTTTTTGAGAAAAATTATGAATACACACAATTGTAATGGATTTACATTAAACCATATTGTCATTAAAAATCTATCAAAATATTTTCCGGATTAAATATATGATTAAAGACACACGCTGTCATTATGCCATATTATTTGTTCGTATTATAAATTCAAGCTGTATTCTTTACATAGAAAACAATAATTATTGTAAAAATAATAATAATTTGATTTTCACTCAAAGATTGAAAAAAAATCAAATTTTTCAGACCTTTTATATATTGCTAAGCCTTGTAACAAGACACAGGATTACTCAAAGGCAGGGGGGGGGGGGTTACAGATCTATTTAGTAGTTTGATATGCTAATACCGGTAGTATGTTTTCTGAGATGTGAACTCCATGTGTGAATCTATCCTCAATCATCAAACAGAATGGAAATAAAAAATAATGTTCTCTAGTACCCGGTAGTTAAAGTGCCTGTGAAATGGCTGCTATTTTCACGCCTAAAATTATCCATTGATATATAAATATTATTAATTTTTATGTTTCTAAGCATGAATTATTTTTTTTAAGTGAAAAAATGAGTTTTAAACTCAGTGTACGGCAACTTTATTTTTGTGTATTTTAAAACGAGGCTCCTCATTAGCTTCTCATTTGCATACAGAAATTCCCCTTGTGACGGCAGAAGGGGAAGTCGCATGGCAGCTTGCATTGCCGATACGTGTACATAAGGCAAATTTCTTGTACAGTTTTCTCATCTTTGACTAAATTGTCACTTATGTACTTGTTCGTTGAGGAAGAATGGACCATAATGAACACATAGTATCAATTTTTGTTGCATGGGGTTGAGTTAGATGCGAAATATGTCTGTTCTGGTGTAGCTGGTCACCGTGATCGTCACCGACACAGGCGCACGTTTGTACACTGTCGCTGGACAAAATAGGATTTGACGTCGGAATTATCTCGTTATTTAGCAGGTTACTAGGCACGTCACTACACTGTTTTATTTCATCGATCGTCTGAGTAAAACTTTCAAACTTAAAATAAAAGAGAACATATTTTGACATTCTAAACATTAGACTATAGTGATCACTATAAAATAATTAAACGCCGAACGACAAATCACAGTTACTAAATAAATGACAGCCGCGTGGAAATAAATTGACATTTTGTTGAAATAGGTGAACGCGTCGGGTCACGACAAGGGCAAGTGCGTTAAAAGCAGCGTTTAATTGGATAACAAAAATAATCAAGATCGACACACATACATATTAAAACTTTATTTGGTGGAAACACATTGACCAAGCCCGGATTCTTATTTCATAAATTATCACGCAGATCAAGCTGCAAGCATGGAGGTAAAAAAAGAACAGAGGTGTGAATTCGACATTCAACACAAATCACCAAACAATTCAGAAACTTTTAACCTTCGAAAATGAAAACAATTAGCAGTGTGTAAGGGCTGTGTAATTTCCTGTTTGTCCGACGCTTCGTTTTCGTGTCACTGTCAAAATTATTGCTACCATTTACTTAACTAAATGGTTTCTATAAAACGATAATCAGGATCGCAAAATAGTCAACTCATTTGAAACACTTGCCGGACGTCTCTCTCTCTTCTGAAATCCGCCTCGGTGATCATGGGCTGGTCCGGAATCTATTTCTTTCAAAAGTGTTGCGCCAGGTTTACGTTGTCGGCGTTTCTCTTTAAATCTAGTTTTGGTTTTTTTCATGGACGAGGACAGTTTTTCCAAAAAAAAAAAAGAATCTGAGGTTAAGTGGCTTTCGTCCACTGATGTTGCACCTTCGGATCGATTAGAAACCTGTGAATACATACACTACGACTACTAGTATACGTTTCACTGAAACTTCCCACAACACAACATCTAAAAACTCTCTCTCAAAAAAAATAAAATAGACCGAAAAATGTATATCGTATAAAAGTATACTGAATGACCAGTGTTATTACGGCTCAGGGGTATGACTTTCTCTCACATTTTGTCATTTGGTGGCACACTTTCGGCGAGAGTCGGAAATCCGGAAACAGTCAACTGTTTCGGGATAGGTGGGCGTGGCTAAAACACGAGAAATATCCCAAATTTACTTGGATACGAGTAATCATTTTCAGCAAAAAAATCAATAACTGCCCATTTCAGTGGGAAACAGATCTAAAATGAAATTACAGAAATACCAGTTTAATTAGATGCTAACTTTAAAGAGCCATGACAGTTGGCATGGTAAAATGTAAAAGTACAAGTGACATAAAGTATTGACAGTAAGAACACATAATGTTGAACCTCTTAAGGTCAAAAGAGCACTCAAGGTGAATCAACTAAGTAAATGAGTCATGCATCATACAAAATCCAAGTGATAAAACTGCTTCACCAGCAAATCTGAATAGCCCTTGCACACAATTTCATACTGTCATGTGACTACAAAAAACACGTCTTGTTTGGTGACAATAATATGCAAGGTATAATTAATAATACCGGTAACTGTTTGAATATGATCAATCTGAATGTTTTTGCTATACACCGATAGTTTTACACATTCACCAAATTATTCCATATGTGGATCTCTCACTGATTCTACTTCATGGCAATGCACAGAGTCCACTTATTCACTGTACAACCACTATTGTACACTATTTTTAATTGTGAATTGATTTATAAATTTAACATTGCTAATAGAACAATTAACTAATATTTTCAAAATGTTTTTAATGAGTTGTTTTATAATGTTGGCTCCAAAAAATAAATTATTTTTTAAATCCCAGGCGATAACTGAAAACAAACTATATTCAAAGCTCAGAACAAAAAATACTGCACATGATGATATCATGGGCAACTCTTCAGATATCTTTTATTTAAACATAAAAGTCTCTCGCAAGTTGTTAAATTATTTTGACCCATCATAAACTATTCAATTGTTTAAATAAGTTCACTGTTATTCATTATACAACATTCATGTGACCGAATACATTCAGCAATCTATATTTAGTAGTTATTTAAAATTGTGTGTTCTTTAATTCTATTAGAATAAACAGTACAAACTCATTACAGTCATGATTCACCATAATACTGTAATGAGTACAGCATGGCCACCAAAGCAACTGCCTACATGCCCCACCTGAATACCTATAGATACTTTTAACAAGCAGCCTCTTAGCTGAGATAGCTCTGCTGTTAGCAATGCATATTTCAATTGAAGAACTGAAGATATTATTAGGGAATGAAAAAATCTGAAAGAGGTCTACTTGAGGTACCTACATGTATACCATAAAAGCAATCGGATTTAACAAGTTTTTAACAAGAAGTCAAAAATATAATTTTTTACCAAAAATATTCATCAAAATTAGTGAATTGAAGATATCACAAAATTAACAAATCTGCGAGAGGTCTACCAGTAGTACCTATATGTATAATATCAAAGCAATCGAACTTGCGGTTTTTAACAAGAAGTCGAAAATATCACAAATATTCATTAAAATTAGAAAATTGAAGATATTATAACGAAGTAAACAAATCTGAGAGAGATTTGCCCAAGGTACATATATCAAGTATCAAAGCAATAACAATTGTAGTTTTCAAGAAGAAGACAAATAAAAAGGGTTGACACAGATGACGACGAACAATCACCCATATGATAAGCTCCACTTGACAAAGTCCCCAGCGGAGCTAAAAACAGTCAAAATTCC